GTCCTCTTCGGGGAGGCTTTCGACACTTTCCATTATTTATCGACTTTCCGGCTCTGTGGGCGCCCCAACCCCGACTCCATCGCCCGCCCTGGAAAACTCAACGCCCGAAGGAAAAAATTACGCTCCCTTCGGAATTTCTCTGGAATTTTCGGTCCCGGCTAATTGCGGAAATTTAACGCTGCGTTTTTCGAATCGTATACTCGCCGTACCCCGGTGTTCTCCATTTTGTCTGCCGGCGCGTCGATTCGAGGAATACATTCGAGGCCTTTGAAAGGCGATTCGGTCTCCCAGCTGCTCCTTTACCTCAAAAGCCATTAGACGAGCTGCAATCTATTTTTTAACATCTGCCTTCGACATTAGCCGTGAAAACAAAAAGGTACTAATAAATTGTGTGTAATCATGATCATCTAATTACGCTCTTGGTGATTTTACACTTGACGCCGATGCGTTTCAATTTGACGGAAAACCATGATTCGTGGCCCAAAAAAAAAAAAAAAAAAAAAATACATCTGTCCACTAATTAACCAGCTTAAAAACATTCGGAGCCCACCGTATAAGGGTTGTATACGAAAGTGTCGAGATAAAGCGTCGCCTGTACGTATATAAAAGCGCGCCTGCAGAAGCGACCTTTGAAATCGACCCACAGCTGTATGGTAATTACATACTCTCGGCCGCGAGATAAGCTCTATTTTTACCTTCCCCTCCCGAGAGGAGATAGGATGGGATTTACGCACCAAGTATATAGGTATCGCGTATACTTGCAGTTGGAGGAAAAAAAAAGTTTCATGTGTTTATGTACTTGCGCTCTCTCGATTGAGCGAAAAACGAAAACGAGCCCAAAACTAACAGGATAACGGAGTCTCTCTCCTTTTTTTTTTTTTTTTTTTTTGATAGTCCTGGCGATACGAGAATAAATCCTCTTAGAGATGAAATCAAGAGAGTTCCGAGAAGCAAAGATCCCCGATACACGGTGTATCGATGCCAATGCACCCGGCGTCTAAACGCATCAGCTGCCACCGTGACTTTGAGCCGTTCCAGATGCTGCGGAGGGTATAATATACCCACGTAGAGTCTGGCACGCGCCGTTGGTTTTTTCTTCACGCGATGGAAAACCACTTTAGCCATGACCGACCACCTATCGACCGAAAGCAAGTTTTATTGTACACCGTTAAAGTTAAATCACACGCGCTATCAGGATACCCCACACCACTAATGCGAGTTATTGTAAAGCAAGGAGATGTAGGAGGGGGGGGGGGGACATGTTGGCACGGGTAATTACCTCTGAATTAAGCTTCAATTAAAACTTGATTGAACTGCTCTCGATCGAGTTGCTCTTAACATTTTGTACCTACAACTCGTTTTACGGATATATATAAATGTGTACAACATCGCGATTAATTGCGACAAGGCTACAAGGTAAATTTACCATAGCATTGTTTTTTCTCAGCTCGGAGTGTGTTTATTACGTTTCGATCCCCCGAAACTGAGATAAGCTCCATCTTGGGGACCCAAAGGAGGGTAGATAAGCTCGATCCCGCGTAATTGCGCTCTTCGGCCCGTACCGGGGGCCACGCGCCTGTCTCGTTTTTTTCACGTACGTATACATCCACACCGCAGCCTCGCTCCCGATCGCAAAATCAGGGCAAAAACCTAATTGGAAGCCTTTGTGCGAAATTAGCCGAGGCGATGCCGCCATCACCATCGTGTTGCGCGTACACGAAGGAATGCGTTAAGCAACGCTAATTGCTTGACCCCCTTATCTCTTTAGCGTTTGGTAAACCGTATATTGGCTTTCCCTGGAGTCGCCTCGCTCTCTGTTCTTTTTGCTGCTCATCCATTTGTTTTTCCCCCCTCGATCGGATCGCTAATGAGCGAACGGCAGCTCTATAATGGTTTGGTTTGGCGCATTCCTTTGGGTGTATATATGTACTAAGCTTTTAACGTGTACCGCTTAGGTGAAATTGAAAGAAGGGGGGGGGGTAAAAAAGGTCGATCCAATGGCGACAACTCAACTCTGTTCGATGGGGCATTCGGTGCGGATGGACCCGTCACTCGGCCGATTTTCTGGAAATGCGAGAAATGATTTAACGAAGAGCGAGAAAAAGCCGTTTTTTTCCAGCCCCGTCTGATGGCGAATCATACGGGCTTATTCTCCTCTTTTATTTGCGACGTGCGCGCTGATGCATATACAGTTGGGGAGGGGAGGAATCCGAGGCTTGATTTTCGCGAGCCGGCCCGCGGAGGAGGAAAAAGCGCGGCACTTGCACGGTCGCGCATACCGGGCCCGTTGCGTTCCCATGACGCGCGCGTCTCCGAGTCCTCCTCTTGCCCCGAGCCACCTTATGCGAGTCGAGCACGAACGAGGCCAGGCAAAAAAGGAGGAACTTGAATTACTTGCCCCATCAAGTGCCAGCTACGTGATATGCGCCCAGTCACGTGTTTATAAATCACTCGATGAGCCTTACGTCTTTATAATTTGCGTCGTCGCTGCTCATTCAATTTTCTTTCTTTCCTTTTCTTTTTGGCTCAACGAAAAAACAACTTACGCCTGGATATCCTACACAGTGATATGATATTCGGTATTTTTCAATGAATTAATCGCGAGGGACAACGGAGGAGGCTAAGGAAACGATTTATACCATGTGGGTATTGTCGAGTAAAGTAACGAGGGTGAGAGGGAGGAAGCAAAAAAAAAGGGTGTTTCATGGGTACATGAAATATATGTACGTTTGCAATACGTGTAGGTGTGTATGTATAAGGTACAGAGAGCAACAGACATCGGCACGTCGGAGCTGTATATAAATATATAATACGCGTACACTCACGGACGGTGATGGTGGGAGCCGGACAAAAGGCTGGCAGCATACGGAGCGAGGAGGAGAAGGAGTGGGGGGTGAGGAGAGCGTCGGAGGGGTGTGGCTTCCTCGAGGATCCTCCTACGCCTCCTCCTCTCCTGAGGACCACGTTCTTTCTTTTCTCTCCCTCTCGCCACTGTAAGAATATAGAATATCCTCGTCAGCAGCAGCTGATACCTTTCGCCCTCTCTTGGATAGGTATTAGGTATATCTACATAATGCGTACACCTCTATCTTCTCCAAGTCGTCGTGTGCCGATACCAAGAGGTGCGATGATCGATCGACGAACCAGAGGAGGCGTACCATACGCGTGATGCGAGTCGGGTGCGAGATGGCATATATTTATAATTCCTCGTATATAATATATACTCCCAAGCTGTTACGGAATTGCCGCCGCTGCCGACACTGTTACGCCACGCCACAAGTGCTTGTCGGATTTTAAAATGTGTAGCGTCTGCCCCTGCACGAGCCGCGTATCGAGGTAGATCGGTATGCTCTTCCCTCCCTTTTATCGCACCGATTTCTTACCGATCTCTAACGTTTTGTTTGTTTTTTGTTTTTCCTCTTGTAAAACAATACAGATTCACCCCCTACTCTCCCTCGTAATCCGTGAAAAATCGTCAATGTCAATGAAAATTTCGGGTTCTGCGACGATTGAGGTTTAAAGGTCCAAGGTGCGTCGCGCGCCTCTCTTCTCGTCCGAAGCTCGGCGTGGATGAGAAAAAGAAGGAGGAGGAGGAGGAGGAGAGAGCGAGAAGGAGAGGCGGGGCGAGATTTAATCGTCCTAGGGGGGTCCTCTCACTCCGTTTCGCAGCAACAGTGGGGGGATGAGGGGGCCCCCGCGTGTACTCTCTCACACACGCGATAGCTCGGCCACACGTATACACGTACAAAACGAACGAGAGAGAGAAAGAGAGAAGGATCGGGTCCCCGGACACGGACGGGGAGCGCGTGTGCAGTCGCTAGTCGAGAGGCCTATATCGAAGGGGGTATTGGCTGTGCCGCTGCCGCCACCGTAAGATTACACGAAGCCATCAGCTGGGACGCTCTTTCCTCTCTATACCGGCTGAGACACCTACTTACTTACGAGTACTTCTTGATGCATGGGTGTAACGTACGCATACGACCTTGCGTCTTTTGGACGGTGTGCGCACGGGACAACGAGGAATAAGGGGCAATCCATACAAAGAGTGCAGCTATCAAGGCCCATATCGTGTCGAGCGAGGGTTGGCGCGGAGAGCCAGGTAAATATATATATACACATACACTTATACACATATGTATGTATACCGTATATTGTAGCGTAAAATCTACAGAAAAGCGGAAGGGCCTCCTTTCTAACTCACGGTCTTTTTTTTTTTTTTTTTTTTTTTTCTGTCGCTCCCACTACCAGTCGTCAGCAGTACCACCTCTATAGCGGCATGCGGCCGAGGGTAACACCCCCGTCGTCACCGTCGTCGTATAGCTTCGAGAGAGAAACAGTGTAGGTGGAGAGGAAGGAAGAAAAAGAAAAAAGGAGGAGAGAGCGAAGCGAGGGTGGCTTTTCATGGTCTATGTGTAGCGAGGTGCAGGCGACCGGACTGCAGCGAGTCTCGAATGGATCATGGACAAGCCCTTGCGGCAGTTGCGCAGGTGGCCGTGAGACAACGAAGACGACGACTACTACTACTACTACAGTACTACTACTGCCACTACCACCACCGTGCCGCTACCGCTGCTCCTTGTACTGACGCCCTACTGCGAGTTTTACTGGCTCGGCGCCGATGCGTGCAGTAGTACAAGCGCCGTCGAGTGCTCCTTATATACTTATTTCGTTCGTCCACGCTCTCCAATGCTGGCGCGTCGATGCGCGTGCGAAGACGATGATTTTGGCAACGACACCTTTACCGGTGGTAACGGCTAAACCCCGATCGCCGAGGCACTTTCGTTACTCATCGCGGTGAGAGTGCGCGCTGGTGCCTTTTTTTTGGTTTTTTGGTTTTTCTCGACGAAACAGTGCTGTTGTTCAAATTGTAGTTCTTATGGTTGTTGCTGTTGTTGTTGTTGTTGGTTTTGTTGTGGTGGCCAGTGTTGTTGATTGGCCCCGATCGGGACGCGAGGGCTGATAATCATCATACCCACCTCCGCGCTGCCTCAACTTGACACATGCATATGATGAGGCTGTGGATGGTGCTCGGGGCGCTCGCGGTCGCCCTGCCGTCGCTACCGGCTGACGTGAGGACCAACAAAAACCGAGGCAGAGGATCCATGTGGTGGTGAGTACCTTTTTCTTTTTTTTTTTTTTTTTTTTTTTTATCCCTCCGTACCTCAAACAACGCCCCCTTCGAACTGTCAAACCATTACCGCGTCTATACGACATGGATCTGAGTTGTTTTTTTTTATACTTTCGGGAAATTAGAGCGCCACGTTGAAATTTCTCGGGCTTTTCGTGTCGAGTGATGCATACCGATCAACACAACTGGCAATAATAGCCCGACGTGCGTCGTGACTTTGAAAAACAGTGACAGCTCAAGTTATCGTCGGAAGTCCTTTTTCTTCGTTCGATCCGCCAATACCAATAGGTGCTACCGATCGGTTTTCGCTCTCGGAAGGAACCCGTCGAACCAATGTAGACACGGATGGCGGAAAGCAAAGTGGGTGCCGAAAACCGGTGGCCGATCCCGGCGCGTGCGAGGAGCAAAACACCAACGTTATTCGGGAGAAACCGAGCTGGTTTCCACACGATAAGAATCGCGCTTCATAGGTACGTGTCTTGCGCTACAAATCGCCTCTAAAGATCTCTTGGTTCTCTTTGTTTTCCCAGGACCACCCGATTTTGTCTTTCCCCCCCCCCCCACACTCTTTGCCGTGTCCATTTTCGTATAGCCTCTCGCAATGGCAACGCAGACCCTCTGCTATATTATGTTGAATGAATTACACTTCCCCCTGCAAGGGGGAGAGGGCAAAAAAACAAAAGGGGGGAAGCTCCGCGGACAGATTTTCTGGCTGACGTAAATTATAACGAGTAATATCTCGGGAGAGCCGCGGTGGGACCGAGCCAGTTTATTTATGGACATCGCTTATTGAATGCGGCGCACCGCTGCAGAGGAGGAGATGCGTGTCCGCGGAGGTCGGCAAAAAATTGCGCACAACCAGCCGCATTATGTTGGTACATATTGTATGTGCGCGCGTGGAATTTTTTCGCGATGTGTTTATGCCACACGCACTTGTGTGTTTCTTCGCTCTGCAGCCTCCATCAACGGGTGCGCGTCGCTTATATACCATCCACGAATAACTTGGGCACGAGATATCTGATTTATCGTTCGTCCCTTTGTTTACTATCTCTCAATTTTCTTCGTCTCGATACAACACATCGTCAAATACGATAGCGCTCCGTAACTCCTCAGTCTCGTCTTTCAAAAAATCGTCAAGGTGGACACGTGGCGTAACAACTTACGGTTTACATTATTTCGAGCGTATGATATGCGTAAGTGTATACGCATTAGCCGTACAATCTGTCATCGGGGAGCAGCGACGAAACTCGTACGTACCCACGTATGTATGTAACATGTATATATACAATAAAGAGGCACGCGCCGCGTCTCGCATTTGAATGAGCGGTGACGAGTGCTCTCCCTGTCTATACAATGGCATACGCTCAAATCGCGCTTGGACGCTTTTAATCAACGATAAATTGAAAAAAAATTGTTTCCCCCGCACCAGCTTCCTCTCTCTCTCTCTCTGAGTGCATCACCACTCTTGGCACGAAAGTGAGCAGTGCTCGTTCTCGCTTTCTCGGGACTTTTGTGTAACGTGTACAGACACGCTCGCGCGAACTTTTCATTAACACCCCCTCGCGAGCTGTTTTGAAAACACACGCACGCACACCAGTTGCCCTGAAAGGCAGGCTCGCACATCTGTTGCGTTGGCGCGACACCCACTCCTGCAGCGTGTAATTTGTTGTATACGCTTTCGTGGCCCGTTTGTTTTCGAGTGCTTCCAGTTGTTCCGCGTCAATATCCGTTTCCTCCTCTTCACAGGAGAGAGGCACTCGGCCACCTTCTCGATTCTCTCCTTACCCCCTACTCGTCCTACCGCGGCCAACGGGAAAAGCTGGCGTTTCTATAAATAACCCGGACTAGCACCCTCGATCTTGTAAGTACCAACTATATGTTACCGATTGGATGATTCGACAGGGGCATCGCCAAGGCAGGGGAGCCAAACAACCTGCTGCCGATGTCGCCGGCCTCCCTCCACATGGACCCTGCGGTGTACGCGACGCTGAGGCGGAAGCAACGGAGACTCGCGCGGGAGAACCCCGGCGTCCTGATGGCTGTGGCGCGGGGCGCCAACCTCGCCATAACCGAGTGCCAGCATCAGTTCCGCAACCGCCGCTGGAACTGCTCGACCAAGAACTTTCTCCGGGGGAAGAATCTCTTTGGCAAGATCGTCGACCGAGGTGAGTGTCAGGCCTTTCTTTCGAAAAAAAAAAAAAAACCCGTATCTGCTGGCTTATTTCTCGTGCAAGCTTATTGCGTCACCGATAAAAAGCTGAATCATCAGCCTCGCTCGCAACAAGTCCCCCCTTGCGGGTTCACGTGTACATCAGGTATAACATAAGACGCGATTATAAATTTTAATGTAAAAATCGCCCGTAAGTGCAGTGTAGGAGCTTCTTTAGCACAGGACGAGACACGACGAATCCCTGAATTAAGGACCGGCCGTATAATGCTTTATAATATCGCAATAACTTAGAGTGCAAGGTTGTTCCCGTGCTCGCACAAGCGTGGATAAATAATTCATAATATACCGATCCGCGAGATAAATAAATGTCACTGATGGGTACACGTGCGTGTCTCCTTTCGAGGAAGATGATAATCGGGCGTCCTAATCGGAAGGGGTGGGACCCGTTCACCGAATTTTCGGGGCCCCACCGGCGATGGTGGCGCGTATTGTCCTCGGGCGTATAACGAGGCAAGCTCCCCCTTTTCGCGCATTTAATCGGGTAGCCGAGCAACGACAACATACACGCATATGGAAGGGAGAGCAGGTCTTTGCGCGCACCGGGAGAGAGCGGCCATATATAACGGGGTGGAGGAGCGATAAGGTGGACAGGAGCGACAAAAACGTCCCATTGTCCAACAGCGCATTTAAGGACCGGTCATTGTCGTCCGATAAAGATTTACGGACGGGAGTTCCCGAGGCTGACACGCATCAGGAGGAGTTGCAGGGGCTCCAGACGTGAGTTCGATGGCTCTTCGTCCCGACTGCCCGTGCACCTATCAGCAGCTATACACACACACACATTTATAACATGGTGCCTGCGACGAGAGCGTCTCGGACGGATGTGTGACGAGTGGCAAAGTGACTGGCGGACCGTTAAAATTGCAAATGCACCGAGTGCCCGTCTCCTTCTTCGTTCCCCTTATACGTTACGCCCTCCTCTCGACATAACTCCCCCATTGGATGTACACAATACAGTGATTTGCTCCTCCGCTGATTACCATTATCCAAAGTAGGTGCGTGTAATCAGTAACGTGCCCAGGCTGCTCGAGAAATTCGGAGTTAATATGAAAAGGAGGTGAATTCATGAGGTGCCTCGTACGACGAATGACGATCGGCCCTTTTTTTTAGTCGGGGTTATCTCGGGCCGTTGGGCCATTAGCGGGGGCTCGCGTGCGTAGCCGGACTACAGTGCAACAATCACCGAGAGACAATCCGAGCTAAAGTTACGCCGCGCCTATACCGATGTTGCCCGTAACAGAAGCGACTCCCCCTCGTTTCGAGGGTATACTTATTTCTTGTTTACCTACCTCGTAACGTGCGCGAGCGCGACAAAACCTCCCCACATGCATGGGCTGCCTGAAGTACCAATACATGGTGGGTTGGTTGGTTGGGGGGATGGGAGTTAAAGTGTAACGCACGAGGCGCGACAATAATATACAAATGCACAGATATAGCTTAGCCGTGCACGGTGCGTTTACTGCGATTCCACTTGAACGCGCAGCGCTGGAAAATAAATTTGCTTCCTCCGATCGGCTGGTCTGCGGAACGTTACCGGTGCAGAACATTATTTGTTTGTTTTGTTTTTTTCTTTCGTCTTCGTTTTCTTCTCGCCAACTCAAGCGATCGAATTTGTTTCCGATAAAAACTATACTCGGTGCATATAACTTGTCTCTTGGTCATTATCGATATCAGCTTGCGCACTTTTTTTTATCTCGATCGGCATGGTACGTGTATATGGGTATACATGGACGGGAGGAGGAGGAGGAGTCACAGTCACTTGTGTTGTATGTATTTATGGGGATCAATTGTAGTAATGAAACAAGGGTGTTCTCACGAGTTGCGGTATCATGCCGAGGGAGAAGGAGAGAACCGATCCATTAACAAAGACACAGGGCCCCTGTCGTTCTGTCGGACGAGCGAACAATTAGCTAGATGGCTGTACATTGGTACACGCACGTACGGCAGCTCAGCGCGCACGGGTAAAAAGAAGAGATGAGCCGGAGAGGAAGAACGAGAGCACCGGGAGAGCGCGAGGTGATTTATAATCGGCAGGTCGCCGAGGAGGAGGAATAGCGGCAGCCGCGTGCCTCGGGGCGATTCATCAGACTGACAGCTTTGACGCGCGCGCGCTGACCACGTGCAAACACATACATACCCGCACGGCGTTTGATCTTGAAAAATCTGAGCGTTCTTCTCTTTCTCTCTCGCCGATATTAATAAAGAAATTCATTAGACGGGCAATTACATCGCCACGCCAATCACTCGCCGATGCGACGGCAAAAAGTACACGAGGCGATCACTGCGACGCTCGGGATTAAAAATTATGGGGCGCACGTGACTCTCGGAAAGGGAAGACGATGATGACGATGGCCATTGGGAGTCATCCGTAGTAATGCACACCCTGTACACACACACCAACTTCATTGTGGGTATGGAAGCGGTCGTTTCCGAATTAGATGACGGGACGTTGGTTTACTCGGAGCGCTACAGTCTTGCAGGATAATTATACTCCAATACATATTTTTTCCACTTGCACTCTGTAAATCCAAGTGTATTGTTTTAATACACTTGAAGTATGTAATCTTTAAACGTGCATTTCGTGTGTTTTATGTTTTATAACATAGTACTTTAAATGCATTTGATAATGGACACACACAACGCGTGTAAAATTATGTGTTAGAAACGCATTATTGTAATAAAACACACTTATGCGTGTTGATTAAACACATTTAAAGTGCTTTTGAAATATAGACGCGTCTACGGTATATGTGTAATTAACCACACTTAGATTGACAGTTCACGTATACACCTAATACGCAGCACCAGAGCTTGCGCTCGTCTCTCGCTCTTCTTCTTTCGAGCTGACGATTTCTCACGTTCTTTCCTCCGGTGATGATGATAATAATGCGTGTACGAGTTTATTCCATCGAGGCAGAGAATCACTTCCATTAGAATGAGGCACAGGTAGAGAGCGGGAAAGTCCAAATCAACACCTATATTAAATACATATTTCCCGAGGAGAGCGCGCTTGCAATAAGCATGTAATATGGTATATAGGTATACCACCTATACAACCACGTGGTGTACACGAATTCGGAAAGCAATTCACGTATACGCGCACGGGTGTGTGTGATTACTTGTACGATATGAAATTCTTATGAATATGGGAGGCGAAAGCCAACGAGTGCTGAATGGAGCGAGGTAGTGTAGCGCGAGGAAGGGACCGAGAGAAATGGCTCTGGGTCCCGAAATAAATACTTAAGCATTCATTACGAAGGCAAGTGTATGAATGGAGCAAGCCGAAAAGTTTTCTCAGCTCCGCGAGCGCGACACGTTTTCCCGCATGTATATAATATGTTCGTACACATAGACGTACGCAAGTGGTCTGTAATCATTCCGCTTTGCTGTCCTTTTTTTCCCCCCTCGTCAACTAAATCGCTCAATCGCCCTCCAACAGGTTAGAGTGAGAGAATATATGCTCCCTCCACCCCCTGACGCCTGTATACGTGTAAATGTGTGACCCTTGAGCCAAGCAGGGATTGTCATTTGGTACCAATTTTTTTTTCCTTTTCCTCTATTCGTGATCATTGTGCGTGTAATTTGATAATGGAGAGACGCAAACGGTAGTTACAAACATACACGTCGTCGATCAAGCAGGTGCATGTAATGTAGTATATAGATGATTTACGAGTGAACGTGCAAGTATGAGAGCAGTACATTAGATCAAGTCGAGTCGAGCGACAGCTTTCTTATAGGTGCAGGGTGCGGATACAGACAAGTGAGCGTCGCGCGTCGAGAGCCGCGTAAGTATAAGTATAGGTACCTAACTGCAGTATAGCGAGTGAACTCGGAGGAGGTGTAAATTATATTGATAATGGTGTATTATAGAGCTTTTTGCGCTCGAGCCGGTTTGAGCCAATTAGCGAGCGAGGGTCTTGGCTCCCTCGCGCATGCACGTATCGATATATTATACTCCCACAACGCGAGGGGACAAAAAATCGGAAAGAGGAAAGGGAGAGAGAAATTATATAAACAGCACCGACGCAACGGTTTCGGCTGTTTTCCAAACTGCATGGGGGAATGCATGCATAGCTACGGTATAAATCGGTCCATTTATAGGATAAATCGAGAATCGAGCTAGAGTGGCAGGCTGCTCTATATGGGCCGTTCTCGGACACCAGCGTTCCCTTCCTCCGCCGAGTGTGGCTTTTTGTGCCGAGCGAGCGTTACGGAGCCATAAATCCCGGCCTATGATGGGCTACATGTGTCGACGCGGTGAGCACCGTGCCCGCGGATTTCTTGCGAATACGTGAGCCGCGAGCTTAAACGCCCGAGACGAGACCGTATACCCCCATCTTGCTCTGCTTCTCTTCATTTTTACATCTTGTTTGCTGCTCCGCATCGAGATCTGCGGAAAGCAAAAGTTGTTCCAACCTCCCCCTGCCCGTACCTATACGTGCATGTCTGTATACCTGCATGTTGTACCTATACCGAGGAAGCGTGGGGAACTTTGCTCGGTACACTGCGCATGTTGCTCTCTCTCTCACCGGTTCATTACGATTTCTTGCCCGCGTACACACACCGTCGCGATACTCGCTCTCGCAGACTCGATGAAAAATTGCAAATTTAATTTGATATAATTAATTGAACCACGAGGCAAAAACTCCACCGTCGCCTCACAACAATCATGGTAATAATAATACCATCATTGCGTCTCGGGTGTTTAATTACCCAACAGTAGTCAGTGCCCATCGGGTCTTGAGCAATCGTTGCTCGCTGCCAACTCGCTTGGGATGCATTTTCATCCGCTGCCCGAGAATCCCCGGGGGAATCATCATCAGCGAGCTCGTGCACGTCAGGCCTTATACAGGGAAGCCTCGTTTTCGTTGGTTTTCGGAAAAATCCCGACCTATTTGGCGGGACTGGATTTTTCACCCCCCCCCCCTTTCCTCGAATCATTCAAGTATTGTATTAATCGACAACTTTCTCTAGCGCGAAAACCAGTATACGTGTACAAGCATAGGGGACGAGAGAACAGCCCCGGGAGGAGCAGTTCTCAGCGGTGGCAATAATTTTCGGCGATGTTTATCTTGACGGGATTTCAGCCGGACGCAAATGCCCCTCGTAAAGTCGGGTGTCGCTCGGGGCGATACGAGTATAGGCTCCTTTTGGCCCGCGTCCGCGCGACGCATTTACGAGGCGGACGCGACGAGGAAACAGGTCGTACGTCCTCCCGCGACCTTTTCACGTATGGGACGTGTCGCTCGACAGTTGCTCTATGATTCATTGTGACGAATGTTCGTGTTTCAGCTCTTTCCTATATGCTCACTTTTTACCTATGGCGAATTTTTTTTTTTTTTTTTCCTCCATCCCAAACAACAATTTCACCGTACGAAGCAAAGTGGTGGCCATAAATAGCAGCAGTGTAAATCTCACGGGCCATGAGTACTCGATCTCGTCGCGCGTGGGGCGAGAAAGGAGGAGGAGACGGTACATGGGTGCTCGTTGTTTCACCACATTCTCGAGTTTTACGATGATCAAACAAAAGCGCGACGATGGGCCCGGGGGGGGAGGGGGGGAGAGAGAAAAAAAGAGGAGCGGTCGCCGAGGCTTATCTCCCTTCGCATGCTTGATGTTACAGTTGTACGAGAGAGAGAGAGAGCCCTATCGGGTGTCCATGGGAATGGGAAAATTCGTGACGACTGTGACGAGCAGTCGGTCGTGTCCTGCGCGTGCTCTGCCGATGAGGGGAAGCGGGCATCGATAATCCCAAGTGTGTTTGAGAGGAGCATGTATATATGTATAGTCGGAGGAAGGCCAATAAATACTTTGCGCGACGGGGACACACGAGCGAATACATGGGGTGTATACAGGTACGAGACGCGAAATTCCGTTACACCTGCACTCTTCGGCACGTCCCCCCCCCCCCCAAATGCTCGTCTAACTTGGCTCGTAACGATGGTCAGCCGCAGAATTTTTACACTCGGTGCCTTTCCAGGCGCCTCCCTCCCTCCCTTCCTTACTTCCTTCCTTAAAATAATAAACGCAGATTACTGTTTGCTCGCTCGCGCTTCTTTCCTCCTTTTCTCATTATTTATTGGCGGGCTGTCCCTCCACCCAGACGTCATTGTGCGCACCGTATTATTTACTGTGCGCGTCATTGCGCGCACACGCTCGTTTTTCCCACCTGATGTTCCAAGATGATTAGGATTATCCGGAAAATTTACAGCTATGCGTTTTTGTGGAAAGGTCTTTTTTCTTTCTTTTTTTTTTTTTTCGTACCTACTTTTTCTTTTCCCAGTTGGTCTGTTGTGGCTGGTTCTCGTACCGATTTCTCGATTGTCTCGTCTCGTTGCGCTGCGAGTCCAAGCGTATGATAAAATAACATTGGTTCGAAGCGCGGAGTTGATGTTTGTCTAAGATTGCATTTGTACTATGAACAAACGAAACATCATCGATTCTTTCAACTATTGTGGTGTCGATGTCATTCTTTCCTGAGTAGAGCATTTTTTTTTTTTTAGAAGATTAAGAGATATTTGCAACATATGTGATAATAATTTGTAACGTGGAAAGTTTTACGTCCTGGATAAGCTTTTGTAGATTTTCTTTCGCTTATGATCATCGTTAGGGTATTTATTCTGTAAACACGTGAAGAAATTTTCAATATAATATTTACAGAGCTAAAGTATCATCGTGATATTTTTATTAATATTAAACGAATTTACTCTTTTGTATTCAACAATGTTGACGAGAGTACATCATGATCGAACGAGGTGATCCAGTAATATTTTCTTAATGAATAATTAATGGTCAAGATGATAATGTTGATTATAATTATAATAATTATTATTATTGTTATTATTACCATCAATAATGATATTTATATTATTGTTATTATTATTATTATTATCATCAATAATGTGCACACGATTCTTGCATAAATATATTTTACAAAATAAAAAAACCGGATAGCTTTGTATTATAAAATTTACTGTTAATTAAAAGATATTTGCAAAAACAATTATTTTAGATTTTTATTGAGCGTGATTCTTTACAATAATTTCAACCCCAAATAGCAAATATTGTTAAAATCTTGATCCTNTTTTTTTTTTTTTTTTTTTTTTTTTTTTTTTTTTTTTTTTTTTTTTTTTTGTGAAAGGAAACAAAAAAAGGAATCCACGTAGCACTTGTCGCGAATTCCAAACGAAAAACACGTCCAATCAAGGAGTCCCGTCTCATATGCCCGTTCCCTCCTTGCACACCTACAAAATCGTTAATTTATTATTACAATTAAAAAAGAAAAGCCGGTCACCCGGCGACGGCGGTGGTCTACCGCTCTTGCGCAGTTATACGCGCGCTCTCTTGGCTGGCGCGTGGGAGGTTGCAGAGTATAGAGAGGATGCAAAACATCTCAATTCTCTCCTTCTCTCGCTCGGCCGGCGTGCAAAACCCAGCATGGACGCATATATATGTATATGTGACGTGTACCCGGAGGCGGGTGCGGGAGGAGGACGAACACACACACGTCCGGGTGACCTTAACCTGTGCGCCTGGGATGACCCAAAAGCTTATACCTACATAATATCTTATCTGCATAGGGAGAGAAGCCGTGCAGGTGTCCGGTGCATGCACCGGCACCTTTGTTGTCTCGTCCCCGGAGGCACAAGCGCGCGCGCGCCTGATGATGATGATGATGATGCCCCCCTACCCATGTACACTTCGACCGCCGTCGCTGCCGCACACCTCGTCTCCCGTTCTCCTCTTATTTCTTTATCTTTTTCAGCTCCTCTCTTCCTTTCTCTCTCTCTCTCTCTCTCTCTCCCCCCGTAGCTATTTCTCGGGCTGTCGTCGCCCCCCTTTCATCTCTGCCCGCTCCCGGCGAGACTTTTTTAAAAATGTCACTTTTCCGAACCGCGTCCCTCTATTGACTCCTCGTCCTTTCTTTTTTTCCTACACGGTCTACTTGCGTTTTTTCCCTCCTCTTCCAACTTTCGTTTCATTCAGCTATTTTCGGGAAGATAAATCTCGGGACGAGAAAGAAAAAAAAAAAAAAGAGAGAGAGGCCCCGTGCTCGTGCGTATATTTATACATCTACGTATACAGGTATACATACCCGCTCGGCCAACTCGGCATTATTATTCATGACTCGATTTATATGATCGCCGGCGAGTTTTTACCCGCTCCCATCCGCGCACCGAAATTGAAACGTATATATACGCGCATAAATTCATAACCCGCGTTTTCCGCGCGAGCACAGCTTACCCCCCCCCCCCCCCCCCGTTTTTTCGGTGCCACCGTTGCTGTACTCTTACAACAGAAGACACCTGTCGGCGAGCCGATAATTCAATCCCGAGTCAAATAGCGCAAACTGCCGTGAAACACGGCGGACACGTCCAAGGCATATGACAGGAGAGCCACCTCTTTATCTCGGAAAATATATACGTAATAAGTATATGTGTAGGTACTCGATGCGCTCCTCCGAATACAAATGCGAGTCGAGTCTTTTCTCTTCCTGGTGACTCACTCGTCTCGCTCCGCTTCCTCGGATTAACGTTTCGACGAAGCCAGCAGATACCCTGCGCGCGGATGAAAAAAAAAAAAAAAAAAAAAAAACGAAGAATGACGGTGATGCGGTTTTCGGACGATAGGATGACGTTATTACCTGTAATTAATTTATTGTGCACAGGGTGCAGGGAGACGGCGTTCATATACGCGATAACGAGCGCCGCGGTGACGCACAGCATAGCGAGGGCCTGCAGCGAGGGCAGCATCCAGTCGTGCTCGTGCGATTATTCGCACCAGTCGCGCGTACCCACGGGAGTACGGGACTGGGAGTGGGGCGGCTGCTCGGACAACATTGGCTACGGCTTCAGGTTCTCCCGGGAATTCGTCGACGCCGGCGAGCGCGGCCGCAACCTCCGGGAGAAGATGAACCTCCACAACAACGAGGCCGGCAGAACGGTAAGGATCGATCATTATCATAATATACATAAATACATATATAATATGAATGACGTTTGCGCGCGAGAAGTGGTGTAAATAATAAAATGGTACGATGTGACAGCACGTCTCGGCGGAGATGCGCCAGGAGTGCAAGTGCCACGGGATGTCGGGCTCGTGCACGGTCAAGACCTGCTGGATGCGGTTGCCGTCGTTCCGCCAGGTGGGCGACAATTTGAAGGACCGGTTCGACGGCGCGTCGCGGGTCATGCTGAGCAACTCGGAGCGCGCGAGGAGCGTGAGCAACGCGATAACGAGCAACTCGGCCAGCAATTCGGTGCACGCGCGCCGCGAGGGCCTCCCGAAGCGCCACCGCTACGACTTCCAGCTCAAGCCCTCGAACCCCGAGCACAAGCCACCCGGGGTCAAGGATCTCGTGTACTTTGAGCCCTCGCCCCCCTTTTGCGAGAAAAATCCAAAGTTGGGGATACTGGGCACCCACGGGCGACAGTGCAACGACACGAGCATCGGGGTCGACGGTTGCGACCTCATGTGCTGCGGCAGGGGCTACAAGACCTCGGAGATCATTGTCGTCGAGAGGTGCAACTGCACCTTCCACTGGTGCTGCGAGGTCAAGTGCCAATTGTGCAGGACCAAGAAGACGATACACACGTGCCTGTGAACGGGTCGCCCCCAGTTGATGGACTGATTAAATTATATTTTTTACTTTGTATCTTTCGGTACTCACTTCGTCTCCTTTCCCTCGAATGACGAGCTCGAGAAAACCAAGGTGCTACGAGCAGGTTTGTGCTTATTATTTATTTTTTACTACGACTATCACTCACCACTCGAGTCGAGAGATTTTGCGCTCAACTGTACAATTGTTTCGTATTTATGAAGGAAACAAACAAAAAAGAGCACTTTGGTTTTTTACGTGCCAGATTTGTCGATTCGGATTATTATTTTACGTAATGGAGTATCGAGGACCAAAAAGAAATAAACAACAGCGTACCTATATTATTGTACACATATTATACAAATAACACCGGTTCGCCATGGTATATACATATATTTAGCACGTATAGGTATCCGGTGTGTATTCACACGAGAGAGCCGGCAGCAGGCGCCTCTTGCTATTGATTTCCCGGCCTCCTCCTCGGCGGCGCGTCGCTCTTTCTTGTCTCTCCTCTCTCTCTCTCTCTCTTCAGTACAGCCGTTCGTACGCGTGTGCGGCGAAAGAGACGGGGAGAAATAAGAAACAGGATAGAACGAGAACAACGCGCTACTGCTGCCACAACGGAGGATATGTCGGAATGTGTGTGTTTGTGTGTAGCCCTCTTTCCTCGCGAAGGATTAAATATTGCTCGCCTCTCTTTGCCGGGGGGGGGGGGGGCANTGCTTTTTTTTTTTTTTTTCTTTTTTTTCTACACCATTGGATGAACATAGAGGTGCGATCGCGGTGTCCCCTTTTTTCCTAGCCCCGACCGATCGAGAATCAGAACGAAGAAGAAGCAGATCACCCTGGCCTTTCTCTCCGTGCCCAGTATTATCTACGAGACGATTTTATTTATTGCGAAGGGGAAAATGGAGGGGAAACAAAGAAAATTCGCGGATTAATTAGTATTCCTTGCGCATCGACCCATACACGCACGCAAACGCAAAACGTTTTGACACTCGTGTAGTTTAATTTACGTGCACTAAAGACTGAAACGGGGAATTTCATTCTAATGGTATACTATCAATATATTGTGTAGTGAATTTTTTTAATTTTCATCATCGTCCCGAATTCGAGAAACATGTAAATAATCGACATTAAGTTCAAGTTTTTACCGTCGCGTCGCTTCGTTACGCTATAATTGTCTACTGAGAAAAAAGTGGCATCATTGTACCTACGTACAAGGCTTTAAAAAAAGTTGGAAAAAAAAATATACGCGTGTCCTCCAAGTGGGGCATACGTAGATGTTCCAAATTAAAAAAAAACAAAAGAAAGAAATCAAAGCACCTCGCATTTGAAAGTGACGAAGAAACAAACGGATGCACATTCATTCCACTTGTAAATAATTAGTTTGCATATATATATGTAGGGTAAACGCCACGGGTTTTAGGTCGCCAGCGAGAGAATATCTAATACTTGTACACGCATGGATCGATTGTTCGTTTGAGTGCGTAGAGTCGTAAAAATACGGGGCCGACGTGACAAATTTTGTAGTAATTTATTTTTCGACGCTCGAGCGCGCGCAATTTGTACATAGCATACATAATGTGAACGCGTTTTTTTTTTTTTTTTTTTTTGGTCCACTACAGGATAATGTATGCATATTTAATTGAAAGTGCGTGCCAGCCTTGAACGAGGACGTACTCTCGCGTTGATGGGCCTCTGCTTTGTACATATAATATATTGTATCACTATATTATACATACGACATTTCTTAGTCTTTTTATAAATTGTAAGTTGCCAAATCAGACCAATCGCTTCTAAGTTAAGCCTTTGTATAATATTTATGTGCCTATTCGAGTGATCGATATTTGAGAATTGTATACTGATTGAAGCGGCTTCTGAGAAATTTTTTATTTTCACCAAGTCTGAACAAAAATATTGAATCGGTACAAAATCAAAATGTTTCTTACAGTGCGAGAGAAATTAACAAGGAATTGTATGTATGTGTATGACTGTAAATGTATCAATTTCGTCTGTTTAACAACTTGTATAATCTATAACATCGCACTATTTTCTACTGTTACGAGGTTCCTAGCGAATCTCGAAATGTAATGAATAAATTTCCCTTCCAAATAAAGAAAAGTTAACAACGTTGAAGCAATAAAAGAAAAAAGAAAAACTACAATCTTGATATTATTTATTCAGTGCAGGCACGAATTTGTTTTCCAATAAATAATGGTGACTCCAACAACAACGATGATTAATACAAAATACATAAAAAAATAGTGATAACAATGACAATTAAAAAAGAAAAACAACAACATCAATAAAGAGCAAAACACAATAACTTATTTGATGTGAAACACTTGTACTCATTGCGCCCGAAACCACCTCCTCCTCCTCCTTCCTCTGCCGCAACGCATCGCAGCCANTCGTTTGAGTGCGTAGAGTCGTAAAAATACGGGGCCGACGTGACAAATTTTGTAGTAATTTATTTTTCGACGCTCGAGCGCGCGCAATTTGTACATAGCATACATAATGTGAACGCGTTTTTTTTTTTTTTTTTTTTTGGTCCACTACAGGATAATGTATGCATATTTAATTGAAAGTGCGTGCCAGCCTTGAACGAGGACGTACTCTCGCGTTGATGGGCCTCTGCTTTGTACATATAATATATTGTATCACTATATTATACATACGACATTTCTTAGTCTTTTTATAAATTGTAAGTTGCCAAATCAGACCAATCGCTTCTAAGTTAAGCCTTTGTATAATATTTATGTGCCTATTCGAGTGATCGATATTTGAGAATTGTATACTGATTGAAGCGGCTTCTGAGAAATTTTTTATTTTCACCAAGTCTGAACAAAAATATTGAATCGGTACAAAATCAAAATGTTTCTTACAGTGCGAGAGAAATTAACAAGGAATTGTATGTATGTGTATGACTGTAAATGTATCAATTTCGTCTGTTTAACAACTTGTATAATCTATAACATCGCACTATTTTCTACTGTTACGAGGTTCCTAGCGAATCTCGAAATGTAATGAATAAATTTCCCTTCCAAATGAAGAAAAGTTAACAACGTTGAAGCAATAAAAGAAAAAAGAAAAACTACAATCTTGATATTATTTATTCAGTGCAGGCACGAATTTGTTTTCCAATAAATAATGGTGACTACAACAACAACGATGATTAATACAAAATACATAAAAAAATAGTGATAACAATGACAATTAAAAAAGAAAAACAACAACATCAATAAAGAGCAAAACACAATAACTTATTTGATGTGAAACACGTGTACTCATTGCGCCCGAAACCACCTCCTCCTCCTCCTTCCTCTGCCGCAACGCATCGCAGCCAATTTCCCAATCGTATTCCCACGCCACCGCACAGTAATGTTCCTGGTTCTTCGCACAAACTCCAATTACCCGCAAAATAATTGGCCAGCGCGTAAAAATCGTACAAATCGATTAACATTTCTTCCGATTCATTAACGCCTCAGATCCTCCTACCTCCAGAGCTGCAGTTTGTAGGTACCTTGGTGATAACGCGACGCCAGAATTTCGCCTCGGAATTTTCGTTCCAAGGGTATATTGGTGTACACGAGAGCCTCGCTAATGGTCTCCCGTGCCATTTGCCACGCCGAGGCAGCGTGTATAACAACCATATGGACCACCAAAAGAGGACGCGATACTTACTTTTTGACGAATTCTCTTACGCGTTATTTTGATAGCTGACTCGACCTCCATTAAAATGTGCAAAAAAAAAAAATTACATAAAAGCAATAGCTCGCCTGCCACCCCGAGTACACAGTTTTTCATGGCCATCGAAAGTGCGAGGAGAAAAAAATACGGCGCTCAAAAGTGGGGACTCGCTCATTCGAGCGTCAAGGAATCCGAAGAAAGTGGCCACACCAAGTTCATGACGTTGTAGGTGTAATGTAACGGAGGAAGCTTCGAGCAAAACCAAGGGGCCGAAAAAGGCGAAGCAGAAACATTACACTTAAGTATTGATTGCACTCTTTGGTCCTCTGTGCACTGGAATGCAGATTCACGAGCGCTAGCTTGTCACAACCAAGCCACGTTAACGATCACAGTAAGTATCAAGCTGCCGGGATACTGTGAGCAAATGGGCAGACAAAAATTATAATTGAGAAATTAGAAAAAAAAAAAAAAAAAAAAAACCTACAGTCATGTTTATACTTAAAGAGCTTGACGTGCAAAGATCAGTTCCTTCGCACCTCCTCGAAACGCGTTCGCGTGACGGCACGCGTTTATCGCAGCGAGTGATGGAGACACACGCAGACGGAGAAAGAAAGGGGGATCACGTATCGGAGGTGCCGGCGCGCCGAGTTGCCGAAAAACGACGAAACAAAAAGGGGGTGGGTGGACGGATCAAAGGATAGTGCGCCGCCGGGCGCGCGGCGATGATCATAATGAAAAAAAAAAAAAAAAAAAAAAAAAGTAACGATAAAGCGAGGTCCAACAGCCACCCAAGATCGTTGTCTCTGCTCGTCGTCTCTTGCGGCCAACGCGCGAATCCGTTCCGGCTCCCTCCCTCGCGTCGGATGACGGAGATTACGGACGTGCCCCGGCTTTTACCGCGCGCGGCCTGAATACGTGATGCGCCCCCCCTTCACCCCGGTGCACGCAGGTGACAATCAAGAACCTACGGACTACCTACTGACGCTCGCAGCTCTCGAGCGTTGGTTCATTTGCTCATTGCGACCAATGGAACACAGTCCAAGAAATCGGTCTACATCTGCAACGAGAAGAGGGGGGGGGGGGGTGAATCAGGGATGCAAGCCGCGATCGACGGGCGCGCGCCGCCTAGTTTGATTATCATCGCTCCTCCCTCGTGATCCCGCGCAAGCGTCGCCCCCGATCAGATAACGGGGCAGGCTCGCGCCCTCGTTCCTTTTGCTTCTCTCCTTCCCGACGGACATTTCGCACGAGATCGGTCGGACGGACACGCATGTGCACCAGCTGGTCCACCCATTGACGCGCTATCATAACAATTTCGGAAAAAACCCCGGTTCTTTTAGATGGCTCGTTTCTCCTCCGGGGCTCCAGCGCACTGTTTTCGCTCGCTCGCGGAGAGAGTAGCTCCGCGGGAACGGTGAGCGAATGTATGATGGAAAAAAAAAAAAAAAAAAAAAAAAAAAAAAAA